TCTCTCTCTCTCTCTCTCTCTCTCTCTCTCTCTCTCTCTCTCTCTCTCTCTCTCTCTCTCTCTCTATGTATGCACTTCGCAAACTGAAGAAATGAATCAAACGGTCGTCCAAGAACCTATACCCGCCAAGTTCATCATTGCAGTGTGGTCGGATCACCCGATCACCTCCCGATTACGAGCACACTACAACTACGACCGAAGCAATAAACAAATCAGTACAAAAACAAGGGCAATCCGCGCTCCACAATGAACAATGTAATAATTCCACGGAGAAGACGGACAGACCGACAGATGTACGCGCACGACAGGCAATCTGCCACTACTCTACAGACACAAACCGAAAACAAACCCATGGCACGAAATGAACTACGAGTGCGAATGAACTCCATCCGACTTAAGTACACGACACGTGCGTGGCAACAGAGTGACATCCAGAGCCGAGAAATGCCCTGTGGCTGACGTTCCCCTCTACCGCTCTCGTATAGCCTTCGCTATTTCCATCAGCACCTGACACATAAGCTTGCTAACTTCATTGGACGCAGCGCAGTGTTGCTTCTGGACCGCCACCTCCGCTTCGATAGCCTCACACTGCCAAATTTGAATGGAGCATTACCTCTTGCTCGCGCTCTCCATCGCCTCGTATTGCCTCATGCTCGCGCTCTCCATCGTCGATGCCATCAACGCCCCATGCTTCTCCATGCACTCGCTTAAGGCTTCGAATGTCTGCTGCCGCACGTTTTTCCTCTTCCGAAACCGGGCTGGACTTCCAGTCGTCTGTGAGGCCCCACGCGCCGAGCTGTCGTCTTCGTCGTTGCCATCTCCAGCGGCATCCCCGTCACCCACAGACTCCGGAGTCGCCGACTGAGCAGATGGGAGTTGATCACCTCCTGCGCCACCGGTGTCTGCAACATTGCTCGGGCTGATAGTGTGGCTCCTCTCCTTCGCCCCTTTGATCTCCTCGTAGACGGCCCGATCCATGTTGAAGCTGAATCCTTTCTCTGCCCTCTGCTGACTCGTCAACTGGAAGAAGTCCTTCTTCCCCGACATGCCCATGAAAGTGTGGATCTTTTTGAACTGTTGCATGAGATTATCCCATTTCTTCCCGCATTTGTCTGTCGGCCTGTCAACACAGACCTTTAGCAACCTTTCCCGGACGTTCAACCATTTCCACTCCCTCGACCGCATCCGAGCGAATGCGTGCCCCGCCGCTTGCAGCTGGGCGTCCTGATCCCGCTTCGCCCTTATGAGGGCCACCATGTGATCCACAGACCAGAAATTTCGGCCACCCAACCCATCCCCCTCACCTTCCGCATCAGCAGAGGCCGCCGACGGCCTCTTCCGCCTCTGCCCAGCATTCGTCGAAGCCCTGCCTCTGCCGCCCCTGCCACCCATGTTCGGCGCATGCAACGGGAACACGTCGCCGCTGTCGTCCTTCTCAGTGTCGCACTCAACTTCGTTACCGTCTGTCCAGACGTCACCCCCCCCGCCAACCGCGTCTGCTTGCCCAGCCCGCTCGCCCACACGTAATCGTTGCACACCTTGCGTTATGGACTCTTCTTGTTGCCGCCGCAACTCCTGCCTCGACTCCTTCCATACCCACCTGCCATCTCCACGCGTGCCCTCGAAAGGGAAGTCTTCAGCACTCACACCCCGTTCAACTGGACGAGGAACGGTGTCGTGGCCCCTGGAGAACGCAGGAGGGGGGTTCATCCACTCAGGGCGACCAGCGGTGGTGCGTGGAATTGACGGGCCAGAAGTCGCCTGCACTTGAGGCCGCTCCCTCGTCTTCTCGGACGTCTCCTGACGCGCAGAACCACCCCTCGTGCCCCTGCCGACCAATGTCACCTGCCCCGCGTCGTCGTCGGGATGAGGGTTCACGAGCACAGTGCGCGTGACAGAAGATGGGCTCCCGCTCCGCAGGCCAAATGTGAGATCCACAAGGGGGAGGTGTTCCTCTTCCTGGGCACCTTCGTGGAGGAGGGAAGTGAACGACTGCCTGTACTTCGCTCCGCGCCCATCAAACAACTGGGTACCCGTCCATTCCTGGGTCGACCCGCTACCCAGCGGAACTGTGTTGGACACGTCCACGTCCGCCTCCCCCTCGTCCGAATCGGGCAGAGGCTGCATGTGAGGCGGGAGTCCTTCGTACGTCGACGGACCTTCCGCCCTTCTGTCTACACCGGTGCAGATCGCAGGCCGGTGGCTGGGATAAGTGTCCGACAACGTGGCAAGATTCGGCCGCCGCCCGTCCATGGCCACGCTCTTCCTCACCCCTCGTTTCCTGCGAGTACGTGAAGGCAACCTCCCTAATATGCACACCTGAACAAAGACGACAACTACAAGCAGAATCACGACGAAGAGGACCAGCGGCAGCTTGCGGAGCACGTCGGCCATGTAACACAACCGTTCTCGCAAGGGCAACTAACGACGACAAAGCACGACAACGTAACGTCTACCCAGACGGCGGCAAACAGCAGACGACAACCACACGACTTCCGACGCCCTCTGCCGATTTACATTGCGGACCACTGCGTGCGGTGACGGACGTACGCCGCTGTCATTTTCGAAACGGCTGGCCGTTGGAGGCCTTCCCGTTTCCCGCCGGCGCTGGTGAGGGGCCGGGAGAAACCGGCAACGGCTAGGGACCCCGTCCGCCACCCAACCTTACCGTTGTGGTCGTTCCCGCCGGAGTCGAACGTTGCCGGCCGCTAATGTCCGCCCGCACCTCGGCTGGACCAGCAATGTACCAGACTACAAAATTATGACGTCGTCGAAGAGCGCCGCCGCCGTCCCGAATTTCGCAGAAACTCCCACTCCGAGGGACCTCGCGAGGTACCTTGGGGAGCACAGCCAAATGCCTGTAGCCCGAGGACGGCCCGAGGACGCCCCGAGGAAATGTTTTCACATCGGTTTCCAAGGAACTCTCTCTGAGGACAGATGGAACGATCATTTCCTCGGGATTTTTTAGCGCCCGAGGAGTGTCTAACGAGCCCCTAGCTGTCTCGTTTTTTCGTCTCAGCTAGCTCAACGAGAGTAGTTTCTTTTTTTTTTTGGTTTGGGGCATACTCACACGAGGACCTATAATCCCAAAATCCCAAAAACAAGGGGAAAAGGCCAGTCACACGGATCTACCAAATCCGCAAATGTACTATTCCAGTGGCCATTTGTCAGCGGCCTGGGAAGCCGCGGGCCAAGGGATTTTGTGGTCACCTCTGGAGGTGACCGCACACTCCCATTTTTTTTTGCATTATCTTCAAAAATTGGCAAAAATTCGTTCACAAAAGTTCTTGCACAATTGGTGGATGGCACCGTGTGACCAGCCAAGTACCAAATCCCCATTTCTCCAGACGGCCGCGACCTTGTCCCATCTGAAAAGGTGCAGCAGTGTGACGTGAACCATGCCCAAAACCTCAAATCGGCCCTTCCCAAATCCACATATTTTGCGGATTTGGGGTCGCTGTGTGAGTATGCCCTTAGGCTTGGACCCCACTGCCCGGCGGCTGGAAAAGTTTTGGCATGGAAGGGCGTTTTTGGACCCCACCGGGCCGCCAGGAAGTTTTCCAGAGGTCTGGCGACGTCGATTTCA